TACTAATCGAAACTACGTGTTGCATATATAATGCTATCTCAATGTGAACGCACTGAAAGATACGTGTGTGAGAAAAAGATTGTGTGAGTGTGTGTATTATGTGTACAAAATGTAATATATGAATGACATATACGTGGCATAATATTATTGTATTTTATAATTCTAGCAAGGAAGATATCAAAGAAGAGGATTCGAGAGAGGAAGGTTATCACAGAGGATTTGAGAGAGGAAGATCTCACAATCAGAGAGGAAGAGTCGGGAGCAGAGGAACGCAGAGAGGGGGACTGAGGAGGAAAATAAGGACACTTCAAAGGAAGTTGCAGTATCAATTAAAAAAAGAAAAAGTATTTGTTGTGACCGCACCTCTATCATCACAGTATGTGCTTTCACCAGCGCAGTACGTGCCTTCACCAACGCAATACGCTCCTCCACCAACGCAATACGCGCTTCCACCAACGCAGTACGCGCCTACACCACTACCGTCACCACCACCACCACAATATACGGCTTCACCACAAATGTACGCGCCTTCACCACCACCACCACCACTTATTTACTCGACTCCAGTACAGTATGCGCCACAGTATGGTCGGTATGTGTAAAGAGGTAAGGTTTCATTCATCAAAGTAATTATAAATACGCTTTCATACTTCTTTCATTATATATAGTACAAAATTTATATTGTAATTTGTTTGTTACTAGGAGTTCAAAAGTCGCAGGAGCACGTTCACAGATTTGGAGAAGGAAGAGAAACTTCTAAAAAGAAAAAATATAAAAATTAAAACATAAATATATAAGATAAAATATATACATTTAAATAATAAGTAGATAAGTGTATGTTTTTGGAAGTGGGGGGCCTGATACATAATTGTAAAATAAACTTTTTTGTGAAAGAATTATGCTACATAAAATAAGAATCTTGCGTTATGACAATTCAATACTAAACATAATCAGGTAAATGTGAAATTATTTATGTCTAAAATATATTTGTTTTAAATATAAACTTAATATTATTAGTTCGCATTATATATTTATTACGTATATAAAAAAGTAATAAGTATATATCACGAACTATTAATATTAATGTTATATTTGAACCAAATATAGTTTAGACATATGAATAATTTCATATGTAACTGATTATGTTTGGTAGTGAAGTGTCATAACGCAAGATTTTTATTTGAGGTAGCATAATTCTTTCACAAAGGAGTACATTTTACAATTATGTATCAAGCACTTTCAGAAACAGAAACTTATTCACGTATTANTTAAAATATATATGATTTATAGTATATATGAATATATTTTAGATAGCATAATTCTCTTTCATTGGGAAATGTATTCTTTTGTGAAAGAATTATGCTATATAAAATAAGAATCTTGCGTTATGACAATTCAATACTAAACATAATCAGGTAAATGTAAAATTATTTATGTCTAAAATATATTTGTTTTAAATATAAACTTAATGTTATTAGTTCGCATTACATATTTATTACTTATATAAAAAAGTAATAAGTATATATCACGAACTATTAATATTAAGTTTATATTTGAAACAAATATAGTTTCGACATATGAATAACTTTATATTTAACTGATTATGTTTGGTAATGAATTGTCTCAAGATTTTTATTTTAGGTAGCATAATTCTTTCACAAAAGAGTAGTACATTTTACAATTATGTATTAGGCACTTCCAGAAACAGAAACTAATTTACTTATTACTTAAAATATATGATTTTTATTATATATGTATATTCTAGATAGCATTCTCTTTTATTATAAAATGTACTTTTGTGAAAGAATTATGTTACCTAAAATAAAAATCTTGAGACTATTCATTACCACACATAAGCAGTTAAATATGAAATTATTCATATGTCTNAAATATATTTGTTTCAAATAGAAACTTAATATTAATAGTTTGTGATATATACTTATTACTGTTTTATATAGTAATAAATATATAATGCGAGCTAATAATATTAAGTTTATATTTAAAACAAATATATGTTAGACAAATATGTTAGACATATGAATAATTTCATTTCTTCTCTGATTATGTTTGGGAATGAATTNTCTCAAGATTTTTATTTTAGGTAGCATAATTCTCTTTCATTTNAACATATACTCTTTTGTACAAAAAGTTATAAAGTTCATTTCCTAAAATAAACTTCTTGCGT